GCCGTCGTACGCGAAGCGGGACGCGGCGAAGGCGACGAAGCGGAGCTTCTTCGCGTAGGCGACGCCCGCGTAGTAGAGCCGCGCGCGCGCCTCGGGCATGATCTCGACGACGATGGTGCCGGCTTCGCAATGGACGAGGTTTGCCTACCAAATGCGTCGGTAACAATTTTTCATCGTTTTCCCGGTCAAAATCTCTCGAAAATCGTCTCGGCCGCAGGACGCTGAGGTTCGCGAGCGCGCCGCCGTGGGGGCCGACGACGACGCGCGCGGCGGCGAAGACGCGCGCGCTGCGCTCCGGCGACTCGTAGCGGAAGAGCTCGAAGGTCAGGCCCGCCCGCTCCGCGACGCGCGTGAGCGCCGCGACGACGGCGCTCTCGTTGGCGACCGTGCGCTTGCCTTTGAAGGCGTCGTGGTTCCGCGACGCGTAGACGAGCAGGTCGCGCGCCGGCGTCGGCGCGTCGAGCAGCGCCGCCGTGTAGGGCGGGAGGAGCGCGTCGAAGGCGCCGGCGAAGGGCACGTCGCCGCGAACAACAGCAGCAACGAGCCCGTGGGGGAAGTAAATTTCGTCGCACTTCGAACCGCGCAGGAGCCGGTCGCCGCCCCCGAGCGCGGCCTCGGCGAAGGCGCACGTCGTCTCGTGGCAGAGGAGCTTGCCCTCGGGATCCGCGAGGAACTCGGCCCAGACGCCCGCGGCCGCCGTGACGCCGTTGACCATGGCGTGCTGGAACACGGGGCTGAACAGGTCCAGGCCGAGGTAGCCGCGCGCGCGCGTGACCGTGGCGCTCGCGGGCTGCTTGTGGTCGCACTCGAGGAAGTGGCCCTTGGCGTGCGCGCGCGACGCCGGGCTCCGCCGGCCGCAGCCCCAGATGTTGTCGTTATATAGCCGCACGACGGCGCGGTCGCAGCGCGCCAGCGTGAGCCCGCGCGGTTTCCGCAGACGCCGCGTCTGTTTGTCGCCGTGCTCGCCCTCGATCTTCCACGTGTGATCGACGCTGACCGTGCGCTGCTCGACGGCCGACGCGACGAAGGTGAAGCCGTGGCCGCGCACGCGCGTGCCGTTTTCGTGTGCGACAATAGCCCGCAGCAGCAGCAGCAGGAGCAGCATGCCTATGCATCACGATGGGGCAACCCCATACGCTGCTTCAACGTCTTTGCTTTCCGTCTACTTTGCCGTCGCAAATTACGACGCACGGAGATCACGGAGGGCTGCCCATCGTCGCGGCCGACGATGTCGATGTCGTCGTCGACGCCGCGGAAGAACCTGAGCTCCCACCTCATCTGGAGCGACGCGGAGCGCGACGCCGACGCGACCCAGAAGAGCGCTCTGAGTTCCGTGCAGGACGACCCCTACTTTTTCGACGGCGAGGGCGACGACCTCCTCTACGGCACGCTCTCGCGACGCCGCCGCGCCGAAGGAAGGATGAACGGCGACGTCTCGACGCGGCGCCGCGCAGGTACGACGACCACGCGCGCGCGACCTTCGAGATGGAGAGCAAGCGGGACCGCGCGCACACGATGACGTTCTCCGGCGCTCTGTGGCGCCTCGGGGCCTTTAGCATATTCCTCTCCGTGGCGCGGGCCGGCGTGCTTTTTCTTTTTGACCGGGATGGTGTTTGACGGCTTCCCGTGCGCAGGTCATCGAGCTCGGGGCCGTGTGGATCCGCCGCGCGAGGCGCGGCGCGTTCGACTGGTTCAGCTCGGACGACGACCTCGAGCGATGATCGAATGTTGTGTGCGGGACCGGGTGCGCTCGTAACACTCGGTGCTTTGGGCGGCGTAGCGTAGGGGCGCGTGCGGCGGCATCGACGGGCGGGCGGAGGGCTGCGGGCCGGGCTGCGGCAGCCAAGCGGCAGAGAGCATGAGAGCCGCTCTCATCGAGCGCTAGCGACGTGAACGTATCGCGTGCGCAGCGGTAACAGCGGTTGCATCGATTGGTCGCAGCGCAGCAAGGCATTTTGACGCGCAGCCACGGAAAGTTGTGCCTTCTGCGCCGGCGCGGCGGGCGCCGACGCGGACACCATGCGGTCCTGGCTCGTGATCTGCGCCGTCTGCTCGATGCACATCGACGCCGCGCACCCGTTCGGCGACGGCGACGGCGACGACGCCGCGGACGAGGACCTGTGCGAGGCGGACCCGCTCGAGGGCCTCGACGCGTCGACGCGCGGCGCGCTCACCTCGGCGACGGCCTTGCTCGACGCGTCGATGTCGTGGACGCTGACGGCCGCCGACGCGGCGCGCTTCGCCGCGAGCGACGGCGGCGACCACGCGTCGACGCTGGGCTTCACGACGGCCGGCGGCGCGCGGGCCATGCTCGAGCACGCCGCGGCGCGCCTCGCGCCGAAAAAGCCGAAGCGGTTTTTGGATTTAGGGTCCGGCGCGGGCCACACGGTGCTCTACTTCGCCGTCCTCGATCCGTCGCTCGAGTGCGTCGGCCACGAGCTCTCCGCGGAGCGCGTCGCGTCGTCGCGGGACGCGCTGCGGCGGCTCGACGCGGAGCGCCCCGACCTCGATTTATTGAACCGCGTCGCCTTCGTCCAGGGCGACATGACGCTGGCGGACACGAGCGGTTTCGATATCGTGTGGGCCTCGACGCTCGCGCTCGGCGACGGCCTGCGGCTGCGGCTCGCGGAGAAGCTCGTCGCCGAGCTCGACGCGGGCGTCGTGCTCTACTCGTCCATCAAGCTCGTCGCGGGCTCGTCGGAGACGCCCTTGGTCGTCGCGAACTCCTGGAGCCACGCCCACGAGGTCGACGTCGCCGTGATGGGCGCGGACACGGCGGTCGCGCCGCATCTCCGCGAGGCGGCGACCCGGAGAAGGTCCGCAGATTTCTAAACAATTTTTAAACGGCGCTTCGTCACCTCGCGGCGGCCTGGTCGCGCGCGGCCTTGCGGATCTCGGCCCAGAGGTCGCCCTTGTCGGCAAAGCGGTTCTGGCGGAGCATGATGGCCAAGGGCACGTCCTCGTAGGCGGTCCAGCGGCCGTCGGCGACGTCGCCGTCGAGCTGGCCCGGCGGGAACTTGCAGAGGTTGAAGAAGAATTTGAAGTCGTCGCAGGCGGCGTCGCCGCGGTCGACGCGCGCCATGGCGTCCTTGATGCCGCCGATGTAGAGGCCCGTGTCGCCGAGGCGCGTCGCGCCCGCGACGCCCGGCGTCGCGTGGACCATCATCGCGCCGCGGCCGCCGTGCTGGCCGCCCATGAAGAGCTGGTTCTCGCCGAGCGGGCCCGTGACGACGCCCGCCGCCGCCTCGCCGATGGTCATCATCGTCGGCGACTCGAGGTTGAGGCCGTAGGACGGCGCGCCGTCGCCGTGCTCGATGACGAGCACGGCCGACTGGCGCAGGAAGTGGTCGTACTCTTTGACGGGCGCCGTGACGACGACGCCCAGAGTGACGGTTTGGGTCTGTTTCATGCGGTCGGCCAGCGGCGACAGGCAGTCGGCGCAGAGCGCGCACAGCGCCAACAAGCGCCAACTGCACGCGGCCTTGCTCGAGCCCATGCCTTTGCCACAGCCCTGCTCGATCACTCAAGCGACGACCT